TTATTACGCTCAGTCGGACTATGCATACTTATGAGGTTTGGAATATGAAATTAGAGTTAAATGATAAGCTTGACTCCAAAGGCCCTGTATGAATCCCGTTAGCTGTACAAGGTCGGATATCTTGTCCGACTTGATCCGAGATGAGGCCTGTCTTTTGGAATACAGGATAAAGTGAAATTTACTTCAAACTATTGTGTGTAGAGCGGTCCTCAGTCTAATAGTAAGCCAGATAAAAATGACATAATTGGACGAGAGTTGAGATACCTTGAAATTGTGGCTCGGATTGGATGAAAAACCAAGTCGGGGATTACCTTTGTGTTATGGAACTCGATAGTTGATTCGTCTACATTAAGTAAGAGGAAAGATTTACCTTTTATGTGGATTTCAGTCTACCTTACATTTAGAAAGTGTGGACTTTATTTTTGACCCCATCGGTAGCTCCAGAACATGTAGCTTACGTGGAAAACATGTTTCGTGTCTTTAACTGATGGACGACTGGTCTTCAGGATGGAAAAGTCCTTTCTTAACTTATATTTGGCTAGGATTAACCTAGAATTGCCATTATTAACTAGAAGTGTGTTTCCGCTTCTTCCCGCTACTTTTTATGATGGCAACGTGATGATACTTAAATAATCTGATGATTTGGTTTAAAAGTGAGGTTAAAATAGGCGAATAATGCAGTGTCTTCATTCACCATAATATTTTCATCATCACCCTTTAGTGGATCTTTCCAAAACCATTTTATTCTTGTTGGAGTATTTTTCATTTCTTTTGAAGAGGCGAGTGGAAGGGAATCGTAATTTGGTTCCACCGGAAGCTGTGGGGGTTTTCCTTGGGGCTATGGTTGTAAATTTGTGCGAATAGGTCCTAGGCGAACCGCCCTGCGACCCTGATGAATCCTTGCTGAGCTTTCGTCCATCATATGACAGACATCGTCAGATCAGGACACCATGGAAAACATATATGCAAGGGATGGGGCATCGAACCAAAACATGAGATGCTTAAGTGGACCAACTTGGGCTATAAGAAGGATGTAGGTTTGAAATCGGCCACCTTTCTTGTCCTCGTGTTTTTGGTGAATTATCGTTAACCATGGTGTCCTGCTCTGGCGATGTCCGTCACATAACGGACGAAAGCTCAGCAAGGATTCGTCGGGGTCGCAGGTACTCCAACATCAATCTATTAAGGAATTCTTCGAAACCCAGTTTTTCTGCACAATTTTTTCCTTGTCTTCATTGACATAATGTTTTGGCCCCTTTTCCTTTTTGTATCTTGGCTCCCATAATTTGCTTCTCGACGAGTCAGATGCATTAGTGGATCAATAAAACTAGGTGCTTCCATTGCCATTTCTTTTTACCCTGAACTTTCCTTAAGCTGATTGTTTAAGGCGGGTCTAGTGTCCAAGTAAGTAGGACTTCTTGCTGCCACAAATATTACATTTGATCAGATTTTCCAATTCGCCTGTTGTATGGATTAAGTAATTCTCTCACCCCACTTTGGTTCGTGCAATTTATAGGAACACATTATACTAGTCCTGCAGAAATTTTGTTTTTTTCTGTGGGCGTACAGTACTCCCTTGTCCTATATAGAGACACTTAAGGAATTGAGCTGTCTTTTCACACTTATTTTCTCTACAAGACTATGCTTTCAATGGAACTAAATAAAGAGGTTCATCTCATAATAGGCGAAGGATTTTCTTTACCTTCTTCACTTTTTAACTTTTAACTTTTGGAAATCGATCCCTGAATCCTGCCTAACTTACCTTCCTTTGCACCTACTTTTCCAGGTTTCAGGAACCCAAAGATGGTTTTGACATTGGTGAGTCAGCAGAGCATGGAAAGCACTAATAAGAAAGACCTAAAATGATATCGTCGACAAGCCACTGCATTTCCTCTCAGGCTTAAATTGGCTTGTCGCATTTTTTTGGTTAAGACCTTGAAATATTCATTTTCAAGCTACTCCGCCACTCTGTATGTGCCCATCAAATACGGTGTCGCAAAGTTTGACTGTTTTGTTGCCTGACTGAAACTGTGCCCAAGCCTAGATTACAGCAAAGGTACAAAGTCGAAATTAGTTGGGTCCACTCCCTCTGACGGTGCTGATGAAACTTGGACGATTCCAAGGCTGAGTCACTTATGGATTAGGAAGCTCTTTCTTAAAAGTAGGTACAGACTATATGCTCATTGAGCTTATTTTACAGTAAGTTCTTGTTATACCTGCAGTTTTAAAATAGGATTCGAATTGACATATTAATAGATCACCACACAAAGCGATCGCTTATTTACCGACCCCTAAAATTCTTATTTTTTAGACTTTTTGTCTTTTTTATAATAGGTATTTTAATTTTATTATTTTTTTGCTGGAATTTCTTTTCGCTATTTCCTTGAACAAGTAAGTTAATCTGCATCTTTGCCACCTAATTAAGAGGCAAAAGGAATATCTATTAGCGTCTGAATAGAAAAACTGACTAAACCTGGCTATAATTGCACTAGCGACTAAGACTCAGAATGTAACTATTATGCTGGTTGCATCTGGATAACGATGCTCTTTTCATATAACTTTATCTCATTTATATGAATATTGCTTCAAATACGTGCCTAGCCCGAATTTGTTTTAATGCTCATTTTATACTAATTAGAAATTAAGTTTTTTAACTATTCTGTTTCTGATGGCCCCCAGACGAGTAAAATGCCTCCTTCCTATGTGAGGACTTTTGCATACAATGACAGCACTATTTTCTGGAATAGCTTGCAGACAAAATGCACATTGAGTGCCAATTGATTGCTAGGCGAGTAAATGCGCGCATTTTCTTTATTTTCATTTTTATTCATTAATCAATTTTATGGCAGACGTTATTTTCCATGTTTCCTGTCAGCGGTGACAAAGCCCTTCTAAACTGCCTTCTAAAGAGAAGAGTATTTATATTTTGCCTTATCTTCATTCGTGAGTTGCTCGGCCCAGCCCACATCCTACCTACTTTCCGCTCTTTTTTCCGCCCTCTCAATAAGTTGTATAAAAGCATTTTCTCGCTCTGGCTTTTACTCACAGGAAGCCCAATGTCTCTTTCCGGCTCGCCTTCTGCGAAGAGGCTTTTTTCGTATATTTTCTCTTGATCCACTTGTTAACCGATCAGGTAACGCCCGCATGCAATCCCGATGAATATCTCTTGTCTGACACTTGGTCCTGACTTTGCTTGATATGCTTTGAAGAAAATCGCATGATCACTGTATATTGCTTGGAGATTTACAGCACGTGGACCACCAACCTCTCTCTTATTTGGCATACGTATTTCGCTACTGCATGGAACGGAGCCATGATCTTTAGCTGCGCCAGGCGATATGGACAAGTGTAAAAGAATTGTTTACATTTGAAATTACTTCAATATTCTTCTTCCATAGTCGTGGGTTTTAAATTGATCAAAGTCATTCTAATGAGCATGTGTACTTATTGCTTAAAGACCTGAAGATTTCACATTTTATATACATTTATCAATATGGTTATTTAAGTGGTTTCAAATTCCTATTACCTAATTTTGTTTATTTAAATCAATTGTTAAGGTTACTTCCACTTCGATTAAAAGTCTCTGGTGACTGAGTTCCTCGGTGGGTCCTATTTTAGGGTGACGGTGGATTCCTCTTGGTCATTCGTCGTTTGGCTTTTTTTAGCTCTGTTCTCGAGACAATCTCCTTCGATTCTAGTGCACATCTGTTGAACTTTCATTTGTCATGCCATACATGACGATTATACATATCTGAGCCCTGTAGTTAATGCCAATGAACTTTTTTTACTGGATAGCTTAGATAATTTAAGCTTATGCAATGTTTTCTGCAAACATTTTTTCTCCAATATAAGAGCTGTATTCAGCCTATTTCTTTTAAGATGATGAAAGACTGGTTGTTGAATTTTTTAGCAATGTTAAAAGTAGACCTTACGTTTCCATTGACTTTCACGTGGCCTTGCTTCTCAAAAGGTATTCTCATCGAGAGCGTACTACAATTTCGACCTCGCCTAAACCAGTCTCTTCAGCACCCCAAGTGGGACTCGAACCCTGCTAGTGCAGTGTTAACGACTACGTCAGACTGCGGCGAGTGCGCTCGGGTCTCAGGGTATGTAGGAATTTCAAGGAAGGCCAACCATTTTCCAATAGTACATTCTGTGCAGGAATTGTCGACGCAACAAAGTTGTATTTGCTATAGAATCCAACTATATTACTTATTTATGAAGACCAAGATGTTGTGGTCTCTATTTTGGCTGCAGTCTCCTTTCGATGCATAGAAGTGGCATGAACTCATTTTCGCAATTTGATCGTGTTGTCAGGGCGACATAGTTGGAAACACATTGTCCGAAGTTCTTTGTTATATTAGTTATCATAATTCTTAGCGTCAGACCATGAAATTGATACATTCTCACACGTTTCGCCGCATCGTCAACGAGTCTTGCCATTTTCCGTACCAATAACTGTCTTCTTTGGAGCGGAGAATGGCAAGACTAATCGACGATGTCGGCTAAATTTTTGAGAATGTCCCAAATCAGCTGTCCGAGACTGGGAACTATGAAAACTAATATAACAGAGGACTTCGGACAAGATACTTCCAACTATATCGCCTTGATAACATGATCAAGTTTCGAAAACTAGGTTAGACCACTTCTGTGCTACTTGTTTTTCGTTTTAGTCCAATCTGGAGGAGAAGACCTTTGTGAAGTACGGCAATGAGAAAGCCAAGAGAAACGTAAATATCATTCTGCGAAAATTCAAGTGTCAGTCCTTCATCACCTTAAATGAAATAGGCTGAATACAGCTCTTATATCCGATCTAGTGACTCTCAAAAAACTTTATCTCCACTTTTATGCCCTTTCATCTTGCACACTCACTAGTTCCACTCTTTTCATATTTCATACTTTCGACTCTTGTATTCTCTATTCTAAGTAGTTGCACGCAATCATCTTGCTATTTTCATAAATTTTATTTTTCCTTCATTACCACAGACTTCGGGTCTCCTATGCAGGTGCCACTCTCCTCCTGCTCCATTTCTTCTCCTCACTCATCCCCAACACATTCGCCTGCCAGTCTGGCCAAAGTGCTTACCACCTATGATTTGGTCCAACTGGGAATCGGTAGTATCCTTGGTGCCGGGCTATATGTGGTCACAGGAGACGTGGCAATGAACCGGACCGGACCGGCCATCATTTTAGCCTTCCTGATCGCTGCCATAGCTAGCCTCTTCTCGGGTGACTGTTTTATCTTATTTGGTTTTAAAAATGTTGATTAATTTTTTTATTTGTATTATCGGCACTAGCATTTACGTCGCATAGCCTTGTTACCGCATACACTTTAGACCACCCTAGTTCTCTCCTCTACTGCTCTAGTTTCTCCCAGTTTAGAGGCCACAAGAGCCGTGACTGACATCGCTACCACCACTACTGCCTTAAACAATGATTGAACACGGTGCTCAGAGCAAAAATAATATGGCATGCTTTTTGCCATGTTACAACATTTTGTAATTCTCGGAATATATAGCGTGAAGACGGTTTGCTTTCGTTTTTCTTTTGCTGTCTTCCCATGTGCACACGGCACCGAAGAGGGATCCTAGCAAAAGGTTTATTTTTTGTGGACCATGCTTTTTGTTAGCTCACTTTAGAGCTAGTCATTGGCCTGAAATGCACAAACGAAGCTTATTCTTTTTCTATTTTTTGTTATCTGCAGGTTTGTGCTACGCCGAATTCGGCTCCCGCGTGCCGCAGACCACGGGTTCGGCTTACACCTATTCCTACCGAACAGTGGGTGAACTGATCGCTTTTGTGATCGGCTGGAATATGGTGATGGAGTACATGATCGGGAGTGCAGCAGATGCACGCGCTCTCAGTGCTGCAATCGACTATCTGGCCGGGCATAGAGTGAAGACCTGGACAGAGTCCTCATATGGCCGGTTGCCATGGTCATCGGCCCCATCTACTGGAACTGCTGGGAGGGACGCGAGACCGGGTAGTAAGCTGGCTGGGATTGGGACAGATACAAATGGAGAAGCGGTTTTGACGTTAGACATTTTGGCTTTGGGATTGACCCTTCTTGCTACGCTGGTGCTTGCGTTCGGAGTGAAGCAGTCAGCCCGGTAGGTCTTCTTAAACTATGTATGCAATTTATTCACCCTATTTCGTCTCAGGTGATAAATGACTTGTTTAATTTGCTCACAATGAAAGGAGTAGAGCTGCCGCTTCCATTCACTTTCACACAGCATCGCTTTCCTCAGAAGTTTCTTCATTCAGAATGGACTAAATGTTCGGTCTTGCCTATGCCTGATAAACAACCCTAGTAGGATTGGAACCATGACAGTGCAGTATGTATTCTCGACACGTAAACCACTACGCCACTCATTACCACGAGTAACCTTGGATCACAAGACAGGTGTGAATTTTAAGGAAAGCCAGGCATTTTTCCATATCACATTCTGGCGTGGGATTGTCGATGAAGCCAAGTTGTATTTAGTATATCAATCGACTACGTTACTTTTTTTTCTTTCTTTATAAGTAGTTTTTTCGAGACTACCAGTAGATCGTAGCAAATACAATTGTTTTTCATCGACAATCCCACCCCAGAATTTGATAATAAAAAATGCCTGGCCTTCCTCGACATTAACATCTGCCTTGTGATCCAAGGGCAATCGTGGTAGTGTGTGGCGTAGTCGTTAACGTTTCGAGATTACACACTGCATTGTCATAGTTCGAGTCCCGCTGGAGGTATTGATAATACCTATGTGAGGTCGAAATTGCAGTCCACCCTGGATGAGAGCACCTTCTGGTAAAGCAAAGGTATGTGAAATTTAATAGAAACGTCAGCCCTTCTTATTTCATTGTGGGAAAATCCAACTACCAGTCTCCTCATCACCTTCATATATAAGTGACCTACTGGTAGTCTAGAAAAACTATATATAAACGGAACTTCCTAAACTTTGTTGGGGAGACTTCTATTTCGTGTGAAAGTGCAGGAAGAAGAGATTCAATGGTCGATCTCACCAGAAGACGACGGCTGATTCGTGTTGTACTGCATCCGTTTGGCTTAATACGACTTTGAGGTTTACACAGTCGACAAGACATTCTCCCTCATTTCAAGTGAAAGCAGACTGAGCTTCCGTCTATCATATGAGCTGAAACAAATTTCTGTAAACGTCTCCCGTTAATACCAGGTCAGGTCAAGAAGCGATCCGAACGTCGTATTGGCCGCAGAACAACGCGAATCGGCGCTCGTATTCTGATAAGATCGACCTTCGAGTGTCATCTTCATGAACTTTCATACGCGATAAAAATCTCCTTAACTATGTTATTCTAGGAGATTCATTGAAACTCAGTTACACTTCTTATCGTCCTAAACTAATCAGTATGGTCGTTGGATTGGTGAAAATCATTATTGATAGTTTTTATGCTTGACACTGGTACCTTCCGATGGTTGTAGCTGCTAACTTGATAGTAACTGTAGCAATACCACCAGCATTAACTTTGCTGTTATTCTACTCTACTCAGTATTAAGCCATCTGTCTCGTTTTTAGACTGAGCCAATCAAAGACCGATCAGCCCAGCCTCGTATTAATTGTGCAAAACTGCGAGTGAACTGCTAAGGGGCTTCACGGGTCGCAGTCTGAGTGAAGTGTAACTTATGAATTCAAAGCATCTTTCACTCTGCACTCATCTGATCTGAATGACGCCTTGTCGATTACTGTAAACCACTGCACCATGGCTAGCATATTTAGTAATAACTGACGTTAATCTCATTTCTTGCCTACTCAGAGCCGACACACTACCTCGAGTTACTATTTATTTACAGTACAGATATGAATTTAAAGGCTCAATTAGTCTTGGCATTCGTTGAGTACGCAATCTTGAACGTAGTACCGATCACCATTTGCTGCGAATATATTTAATTCATGTTTACTCACACTGGGTCTTTGCAAAAGAAATATCTTCACAGCGAACCCTCTAGTACGACATTGAGGCAGTAACAAATTTACGGGTGCCATTTTCGGACTACACAGCGAAGCCTTTTTAACTTGGCTTGCGGCCTGCGAGTTGGGGTTTATCATTTCAGCCTGGACGTATCCGTCGTCTGAGAGATGAATTCCCAACATAGATGCAGTGAGGGTAGACGAGATATAAACGCACTCACAAACACAATGTGCTCTAAGGAAAGCCGCCAATCGCCTTCCATTGAAGCGTGTCTATAAATGGTTTATTTAATTCATTTGATATTAGATAAGTTGATTAAGAACTGTAATATTGGAATATAGCGAAAACTATTGCTTATTTGTTCAGAGCTAGGTGAAATATCGCTCACCTTAACCGATATATGAATTTTATATTGCTTAAACCTGCCTCCTTCAATCATACTAATTAGTTCGTAGGTATGGAGACAAGATGGTGTCATGGTATTCGTGATGCCGGACCATTGACTTTGTACATTTCCAAACGTTTCGCCGGCATCGTCACTGAGAGGTGCTAGCGTCAGCACAGAGTTAAGGCTTATCAAAGTGTCTAGTGAAGGCAATTCTTCTGACCAATAAAGAGAAGCTGGGTTTCAAAGAATCTCTTAATAGATTTAATACTGGCGTACCTTTCACTTTTTTTGAGAAGGCAGGTCGAAGGGAGTCGTAGATTGGCCCCACCGGATACCGCACGAGGGTTGCCTTGGACTTTTGTCTATTAAACTGTGTGAAGAAAACTTCGGCTCACTGTCATACGATCTCTATGACTCCGTGCTGAGCTTTCTTTCGTCATGTGACGGACATCGTCAGAGCTAGAAACTATTATTGACATAAATGTCATCAAGAAACATTAAACCGAGAAAGGTGGCCAGCTGAGATCCTACTTACTTTTTATACCTCACTTTGCGATCTTAATGAGGCTGACTTATGCTTTTCTTACATGCATGCAAGCGGGTCAAAGTGATGCAGGCAGGGGAGCGGATGTGGTCACAACTTTTGTCTATGGAAATAAACTAACGAATCATCCAGTATTCCTGGGTCTTGTTACAGCTTCGGGGATGCGTGTTTGTGTGTGCAGACAACAACCACGAGTTGGTTGGTAATTTCAAGTGGAAAAATAGGCTCAAACTTAGCCTATTCTTTTCCTCTTACTCAGTTTATATTCCTGTTACATTTCTTCTCTCTCACTCTCATTCTATTTAGAAGCAAGAGCTAGTTCTTACTTAGTTTTCTGCATTCGTTCCTCTTATTCAAGATGTTTTTTGTTTTATTAATTTCAATTGACTCTGATCTTCTGTTTAGCCGGGAAGTCCCTATATCCGTCAAAACGTTGCGATTTAGACCACTCTATCTGGTGTCTTGTAGTGACATGTTCAGCCACTTCCAATTTCTGAATCCGTAAATATTTGCATGCTGCTCTGTATTCTGTAGCCTCTTATGTATGAGTCAACAAGTCTCCCACACACAAACAGTACTGCATGAGCACAAAATCTTATAACAGCCTGATCTGCAGAGGGTGTTGGAAGATCCTATAAAAGAAAGCATGATCGAGATAAGCTTTAGTATCTTTATACAGTGTCTTGACATACCATTTCCCTAATAATTTGCCTATGTTTCTTGAAATCTTGCAAGATGGTATCATTAGGAATCTGGCCAAGTAGTTGTATAATTCATTGTTTTGTCCAAAATACGGGTTTTCCTTTACCCAATTTATCAATATTTTGAAATTTTTAAAAATTAATCCTATCGGATAATTATTTTTAACCAAGATTTTTCTTAGCTTTTCTCACTCCTGTTCATGATGATTTACGTCCACTAGGCGTAAACTCCTTATTATCATTGATTTCATTACAACCACCTAATTACATCATAAGTAGGGTTCGAGAAAAAATTAAAAAGGGAACCAGCATTTGGGAGTCTCCTAGCTACTACTCTATCCAGATTGCTCCTTTATTTGCTAACTAGGACATCTGAAAAGGCTAACTTATTTTCTTTTTCTAACTCCATAGTGAATTTAGCCACCTTATCTACTCTATTCATTAAACCAAGCAAGTCATTCAAACACTCTTTGCCATGCTTCCAGACGGCAACGTAAGCATCCATATATCTGACCAATATTTTCGGAACTAGGAGTGACTCTTTAAAAAGCCCGACTTCCAATTTAGCCATGCGGTTATTGGCTAACAATCGAGATAAGCACGATCCCATACCTGACCCTCCTCTTTGTTCGCATAATTTACCATTAAAGATAAACT